TTTTTTTTAAATCAACCGACACTTGAATTAGAGTAAAAAGACCAGAGCGGCTGAATCTAACAAATTCTTGAATGATGAGTTTTCCTTCTCTGCAAAATTATGCAAAGTCCTGCTTCAAATGCAAATACCCTCCATCCTCGCGGTGTTTCCAGAGTTCCTTGAAGTCTGGTTTTTAAATAGTTTATATGAAGAAGTAGAAAAGCTTCTTAGTGTTTTCACCTGTCAAGGTTTTGCAGTGTAAACTGGTGGAATTAAAATACTTTGATGGCTTACTGCGCTGAAGTCAGTACAACATTATATTTATAATGTTCTTGTTAAAAAAAAAAAAAAGAATATTAAAACATTTGTTTGGAATTCAAAAACATTATGATAGACGGAAACTAGAAAATGTATAAACAGGAGAAGGGGTATTAAAAAAACGCCAAACCGGCCAAACCTTTTGAAGGATGGAAATGCTAATTGTTTTTATGCTTTATGGCATACAATAAGCCCCAAATTGGGTTCACAAAGGAAATTTTCATTCTGTTTTAAACTAATCATTTAATAAAAATAAGAAAATAATTTTGGAGCAGATTCTGTAAAAAACTGGAGAAAATAAATCATGTTATGCAAGAACTAAGAACCTGAACTCATCTATTATTTAAGCAGATCTATTACAAATAATTTATCAACAACTAAAAAATGCTGTCAGCTGTAAAGTCACCTACATGTTGACCTTTTTCAGAAAGGATAAGCATCCTTGTTATGGCACATAGAAACAGCATGAATTCACCTCCTGCTTTTATCAAACAACCACAAAAGAAAAAACGGACAATCATACCAGATGTTTGTAGCTCAAAGCTGGCAGTTTCTCTTTCCCCTGCTGTTGAAAACAGAGACAGTCCAGAGACCCTGAGAAAGAGATTATTTTTCCAGAAAGTGCAGCAGTAGTCGGACTGTTTAATCCACCACTTCACCTGCTGTCAGGAGTCAGGGGATTGGGAATGATAACAACGGGATTAAGGATTAATAGATTTCTACATTATCATTTTTCCCACTCCTGCCCACTCTCTCCTACTGCCTCTCTACAGCTCTTTAGATATTTTTATAAGTGGATATCAAATTCTTCTCTTAATTATTTTGATGTCAACTTTAGATGTCATCACTGGGAATCACTGTCAACACTTGGTCTGTTCTCTAAAATCATAGACACCTTTCCTTAAACTTGAGTAAATGACAGCCTTTTAGTAGAACTCTAATAAGAAATCGATTGTGATATTATTACTTCCAAAACTCCCTTGGATCTAAAGTATTTTGAAATTTATTATCTGTCAGTTGGTTGCCTCTACTGCAGTAAGACTCCATCCAACGGGCCGAACATCTAAATGGCAGGCTAAATGCATGAACGTTAAAATAACAAGCCAGACTGACTTACACCATATGTATTCAAAGCACAGCTAGTCAGTCTGGGCAAGTCTAGACTCTTCCCAGACCAGCCACAGCGTGAGAGTTAGGAATTTGCAATGCCTCACTATTTTCTTTGACCACATGATTGTGGCCACAACTGAGCAAAGTTTTATTTATGTCTTGTTATTATGTCCTGAATGAGTTGGATACACACTAAAGTGGAAATGAAAAGCTTAACCAAACTAAGTTAATTTATGAGATTGAGTCAATCAATAGGTATATTGCAAACATGAAAAATAAAAATATGACAGAAAAAATTTAACACTGTTTAAAATTTGTTTGGCAGGGTCATTGCGATCTTGTATTACTCTAAGCAGTGTTGTCACAGGGTTGGTTGGAACTGTAGGTGCCAGTTGAATACTTTGGTAATACCAGCTATAACTCAAAACCATAAAAGACTTAAGACATTTGGTATGATGGAAGACTAAGCTTAAAGGACACTAGAGGATCCAAATCCCATTGCTTATGCTTTTAAAACAACTCACCTTGTGACTCTATTTGTGATAAGGAGAGAAAAGGCAGGCTCTGATTTATACGGATCTGATTCACTTATTCATAGCTCTAGATCAAAAATAATTTTCTAGTAAAACCTGAAAATTAATAGATATTAAAAATACAAACAATTATGCCCTGTTATGCCTTTAGTCTATTAGTTGAAAGACAATACAAGATATTTAAATAGTATTTTCTGTGTATGACAATTTCAGAAGGGTTTCTGTTTAAAAATTCAACTTGAAAAAATGTTACTCTAAATCCTCCCCCTGAAGCCTGTGTCTAATCTAATCTTGTTTCATAAGAATAGTCTCATACAGAGGTAGAGCAATACATTGCAGTACAGACATTTCTGAACAATATCATTTTCTATTGTATTGACATCAGCCCATACATGACTTATTAGTGCATTCAGCCGCCATGCTTTGAGATCATGTGAAGGGCATCCATTGTCACTCACTACATTTCCTTACCATTGTTTTTTTGTATTTCTAAACAGATGTTTTCTTTCAGTTTAAAATGAGAATTGTGCAACTTTTTTTTTTATCATTCTGTCATTTTCACAGCAGCACCTAGAGCCAAAAGTGACATATGGCATATGCCAGTTAGGAACCAGTGCATGCCATTCAGGAACCAGCTTATGCCAGTAGGGAACTGGTATTTGTCAGTTGGGAACCGGCTTATGCCAGTAGGGAACCTGCATATGCCAATTGGAAACTGGTATATACCAGTTGAAAAACGACATATGTCAATTTCGTCAAAGGTCGTACATTGCCACTGAATTTCCTAATCAAGTTTTATTGACATATATATTTTTGTTGTCATGAAAAAGTACAGTTTATGTATGTATTTGTAAATGTGTCTATGTGTTGAAAAAAACAGTAAACAATCATACCACCAAATGTTGTCATTGTGTTTGCTTTGACAATGTAACTATATTCTCAGAAAACTGCAGCATATTGTCAATATTACATTATGAAGTAGATTGCTTATGATCTGATAAGCAATAGCCTAGCCGGCGCCGCCATTCCTCTTATTCATATGTGGTTGCAAACAACAGGTGATTACCACCCCATGCTGTACAAGAAAAAGCAATAATTGCTCCAAGAATTGATCCCCAAATAATCTGTAATGTATAACTTTACACCCATAGTTGTAAGTTGAGTTGGGCAGAGAACAAACTTTCTTAGGTAAAACACAAGTTGCATTTGTACACAATAAAATGATACATAGCAGCATTAAAGCGAGCAGTAAAATGAAAAGTAAATCAAAGAGAAATAAAATCCTTGTAACATTCACTAAGATGAAGATGACTGCAGGCTAGTTGTCAATAAGACAGCATAACTTAAAGTACTTTTCAAGCTTTCTGTTTAAAATCCCTGTATTTTTTTTCATATTGCAATAGATATTACAGGGTTGCAGTCCTTATTCTTTACATGGTAAAATGATGTAAGGTAAAGTCAAAATGCATGGCTATGGTAATGCTAACTTGAATGGTCAAATCAAACCTTCACATAGTCTCATCTTATTCCAAATTCTGAAATGTGGCATCCTGATTTAGCTTTTATCTTACTGAGCTCCTGAGGACACTGTGTCCTCATAAATACATGAGAATGACTCACATCTGATACTCGCATGTTATGTCAGACTGAATCAAGCAGCTTAAGTTAAATCAAACATGAACGCATGCCCCTTTGACACCAAATTACACAACAACACTCAGATATTCAAGCATGTTCCCAAACTTTGAAAAAACAAATCTGCCCCTTTGCTCTGACACTAACATTCATATCCAAACTGCTTTGATTTCATATTTGTTTTTATGTGCAGGTGCATTGTTGCCTTTCTTGAGTTTTTGTTGTTTTTGTTTTTGCTCTGCACCCAACAATGGCCCCTAGCTTCACAATCAGCCAGTGCATCAATATTCCCTGCAGGCCCGACAGCTTTACCCCTTATTCAATACTGCCTGCCTGGCACAGATAAATCCAACCAGACAAACAGAATGCACTGATTAAACACTGCAGCTTTGAAACAAACTACAAGAAATTGGAAAAAATAAAGAATAAATTGAAAAAACGTTAACGTGACGTGTCATTTTCTTTATAATTAATATATAAGCTAGTACAAAGAAATAATAAGTCAATGGTTTCTAAGCTCCCTGATAAGACCGACAATGTTTTTTTAACCACAAGATATATGAATGGTCAGAGTCACAAATAAAGATTTTTTTTGTTACATTAAGCCCACCCGCCTAATCATCTGATGTTTATATTTTCTATTTACGTATTAGATTACGTTTGTATCAGTGTTTTTACAGCACTACAGGCTGTTTGCATTTTACACACGGTCGATGAAGAAAGTAAACCAAGAAAAAAAAAGATCGATGTTTACTACTATCAGGTTTCAATCCACTCTCAGTGTTTATGCACCGTGCTGCACTTTGAATTATTGATTCATTTTTAATTGAATGTCTTCTTATTTGAATTCTAACGTGTAGCAATGGTGAGATATTACTAATTTAAAAGTCTTTCTTTTTCATCATTACAGATTCTGTAATTAATTATTCTGTTAATGTAACCCTTTGTTGGATTAAAATGACATTTTTCCTAATATTTCATTTTTTATTAGGATCTTTTTCAAAAATCTGAGAATAGTCTTGTTTTAAAAAAGGCTTGTTTCCATTTTCCTGTCAGTTTGTATGCTTGAATTCACCACAAGCCTTTTGCTGTGCAGCTCTATGCAGCCTTCAATCAGCAGTCCACCTATAAAAGATTGATTCCTCATTTCTCTACCAGACAGTAATCAGCTCTGCACAAAGAACAGAATCAAGCAAGGGCTGAATGTTTTCAGAATAATCGAGGATAGAGAAACTGAGAGTTTTTTTTTTTATGCTACATGTTGAAAACAAACATCTCATAAATTAAACCGTTTCATGTGAAAACATAAGAATCAATCGAACATACATAATATTGCCCCACTGAAAAATACAATCCTGCTGATATAAAAGCTTAAACAGACTTAAAAAGCCAGTCTGTGAAGGAAAAAAAATCTGAGGTGTTTACCTTCATGTGTCGTTGCCTCCGTCTGAAGCGCAGCAGCTCCTTGTGTTGGCGGGCGATAAAGTTCACGGCGGCATATTCCAACAAGGCCGAAAAGACAAACAGCAGACAGACTGCCATCCAGATATCAATGGCTTTCACATAGGACACCTGGAGGTAGTTGGAAACATAAGAAAGAAATCATTAGATAGACCAAATCTCAAAAGATAAAAAGATCCTGTTGCCTGTTTTCTTTTAAGTATTTTCTTTTTTGATGTTGTTTTTTTGTGATTCAATAGCTGTTTTTAAATAAAATAGGGAACATGGACTGAAAGCTGATAAATAAAGTCCCATTTTATAAATACTTTACACCCTCTCCTATTGCATCACTTCATCTATACACTGATTGATTTGTAAAACCTTTATCAAACACCAGAAAAATACAATCAACTGTTTAAAATATGATAAAATTATGAGTGTGAATCTTTGACAGACACACTGAGTGTAAGTTCACCTTGTGACTCTAATAGGAAACCATTTATCTTAGAGCAGCTATGGGACACATTGGTTTGATAATCATTCATGTCTGAAGAGGCACAGTAAAAAGGAAACTGGTCATTCGAATACAACTGTTCTTAAATCTGTAAAGGTCTACAACAATGGCCATTTGAATAACATTCACCATTAACTAGAGTCATCAATAGCTTAAAAAATTACAACTGCCTAAATATGTAAATAAAGGCTGACATAAGGCGCAAAGTTGTCACTACACCCCATGAGGAGAATAGAATAGAAATAGTGAAGAACTGATAGAAATAGTGGCATTTTGGGTCAGCAGTTCTCCAATTCACTATTTGACTCTATACACCAACTGTTAAGTGCGAAAAGGTCATTTTTCTCTCTAAAATCACAAACATGAACAAATATGTGGAACTCAAAAAATGGTGCTGTAATTATAATAGGACAAAAAATGATCTGTTAAGCTGTGGGCTTATTCCCTCCATAGTCTTTAACTAACCTGTGCAAGTTCTGACATCAAACACCTGTCCAAAAACAGGAATGTACAATGAGTTACCATTGGGTGCTTTTTAAGGATTGGTAATCCAAACATGACTGAATCAAAATAACAAAATAGATAAATAAGATGGATAAATAAAATAGATAAATAATAAAACTGAAATAATTGCCATTTACTTCAGGACCAGTTTTTGAATTAAGACATTTCTTACATTCAAATGTTTCCATCAGAAGTTGTAGCGAATACTTATACTTCATACCTGCAATACTACTAGGCCAGTGAATGACAGAAGGAATCAATATTTCCAGATTTATACGCAGCTTAAAGGATATTGGTTTGTGGCTCCACACAGAAGTTAGTTTCTGTTGCATTATTGGAATCCAAAGGCTACTTGCTCCTACATCCCCTAGGATATTGGTGAAAAGACTGATTGTGGCTTGGTACACTGATGAGTACATAGTACTTCAGTCTTCAATGGTGAAGAAGGAGCTAAGCTTATAAAACAAATCTTTCTATTTGCACGTCAATCCTGTGCATTCTTTCCACTGGCTCTACTTATACTGGCTCCTGCACTCAGCCTGGTTTGCAAACATTTGCAAATAGTTATTTTTCTTTACCTGCTCACATGGTAGCATCATCAGAACTGAGTAGGGCCAAAATGTAATGTGAGGCTTTGATCAAGGAATTGAAGGGAAAAGTTAAACTAAGAGTCTGCATTAATATTATTATCACATTAGAGTGTCTCAAACCCAAAAAAATATCTTACCATTTACAAATCATAAGCTTTGCTTGAAGAAAACCAAAGGAAAGAAAAAAGGAAATGTCAGCTTTGCAATTTACAGGCAGGCGGATGAGCTATCTAATTATTCACCTATAGTTCAATAGCTTCACTGGCTTCCAATCAGATAGTGACTGGAATTTAAAATCTTGCTTTATACATTTAAGGCCATCCATCACCCCTCTTCATACCTGTCCGATCTCCTTACTAACATCCCCTCCCTGTCTCCACGATCAGCCTCCTCTCTATCTCACTTTGACCACCTGCTCATCTGACTGCTATGGAGCTAACGACCATCTTCTTATTCTGCCCCTGATCTCAGGATGCTCTGCTGACAACAGAAAAATTTCTCTTATAAAAACATCTATATATATAAGAGCGCTTATCCTAAACAACCACAATGTTCCTGTTATTCTGTCATTTGACTTTTTTTTTTACTTTCTGGCTTTATCTCATTTTATGTTGACTTTAGGTGCCTTAGTAAGGCACCTTTTAAATAAAATTCTTTATTAGCAGCTGAATATGTTCTCTTCCTCCTTCCTCCTCCTGTACCAAAGATCAGGCAAAAATGAAACATCTGACATCAGATTTGCAGCAATATATGACATACATAGAAAAAGAGCTGGGAGATAAATTAATTTTAGCTATGAATCAAATGATCTGTTGATAAAGATCTCATTTTTGGAAAATTTTCATTTTATTCCATCAATGCAGTCCTCGGACTGCCATACCTCAAATTAACATAATTTAATCTCTTTTTGTTCTTAAATATGAACTTATAAGTGATAAACTAGCTCTATGTGAAAAACAAATGGCTGCAAAGAGTTAATTATTTTTTCATAGTTTTTAGTGAAAAATTGTTATTTTATAACTTGAATTTCTTTGCCATATGTCACATCCCAAAAGGGACAACTGATATAAAAACTAGGTTTTGAAAGTTATGTAACTGTTATTTTTTTATTTTTGTGTTATAAAACTTAAGGGAGAAAAAAAAATTGGTAGGAAAAAAATCAGAAATTCAAATTTTCAGCACTACATCAAAATCTATTCATTTTTGTCTCTCAAGAGTGTTTGTTTCAGAAAGATATTCAAAGCATTTTTTACCCACAGCATGAAGAGCAAGCAGGCAGAGAGCAGATGCCCACAAGCAAACAGCCTGCAACGGATCAAATCAGCCAAAACTCATGAATCACCTTTGATAATCGGGGAATTAGACCAACAGCTGCACACACTGCCTACAAGTTCAGCTGGGACAACTAGTTGTCAAAATATCAAAATAACTCTAAAGTGATTCAGCATGTTGTCAACTCAAATAGGTTTAAAAAATTTTAAATATGAAAGTGGGGTTCTATTTTAACATTGCAAAAGAAGATATTTACGTTCACTGTCAGATTTGCTACAGATATGCAACTGAAACCAAAACTGACTGGATGCATGGACACTAGAAGTGTGCATACACAGTAAGAGGAAACTACCAAAAACAACGAGCACAAAGAAAAACTTTAGTTGAGCATGTCACAAGGATTGGCATGTGGGACAACCAACAGATAAGATGATGAGGAATCTTAGAAAATTTGTTCATACCTATTCCTTACACATTAACCTTTTTTTATTTGGTCTATTAATGTATAATGTATTTAGCAGTCACTGGCTATGCCTACCAATGATAATTTAGTAATTTTAAGAAAAATCCAGTCAAACTCAAATTAGCCCCATATGTGTAAGAAAAATCAAAACTGAATTATTTTTTAAAATTGTTTCCTTGCTGATTGAAAAAAAGTTTTATCTTATTTGAATCATTGTAAACCAGATTTTTGTGTACATTCCTTAAAAATCATGACTGAAGGAACAAGATTCTTTATCTAAGTGGCTAGAGTGAGATCTTTGTGTAGAGAAACCTAGTCTGACCAACCAGACTGACTTACACCGAATAGACGGATAACCAGTGTGGACAGACGCCGTTAGAGGCTAACGGCGTCTCTCCACCCTCTCCTAACTAGAGGTCAGATTTAAACCAGTTAGAGTACTTAGAAAGTGATGCAATAATGTATATATATAAAAAAAAGTTCTCAAACACTGAAAAAAATTATGCTACCATGTTTGGCAATTACTTAATCATATTTAGTTACTTTATGCCCTACCCTGCTAACATTAAACAACTGTGTTAAAGTAACTAAATAGGATTAAGTAAATACGTACCCAAAAACGGTTGCATTATTTTTTTGGTGAAGCATCCATTTAGCGGTTACAGAAAATCACTGCTGTATTATGGGTAATTCTGATACAAGACCAAACACCTGCCTCTTGTGCTGTCATTGGTGTAGTCTTTTTTAGCCTCTTAACACCCACCCAATTTGAAGTAATCCTCGCCTGTTTTACACAACCAAATGGAAAAGCAAATAACTAAGGAACTGTAAGCCCACCTTACATGTGTGATACATGATAAGGACTCTGTAAGGATAAAGGACCTTTACTTAGTTTCTTTTGAAGGCATGTCACACCTTGAAGACACCAAAAGGCGTACTCAGAACTTTTTAGAAGGATCTATAGATCATATGACCTTGGAACCCCCTGGAATCTCTCATGCGCAAAAAGACACTGATGCTGCGGAGAGGATTATCAAACTTCCTTCTTGGTTCTGTCACCTTCATCACATCATCTAAGATAAGCAGAACACAGCAGGTGGATGGATGAACATCAGCACCGTGTGCCTCTGCTGTTTGGTTACATTTTCAAAGGAAACACTGCCCACCTGGTTCATGAATGTTTTTCACGTCCACCTCCATTTCCAGACCAACCTGAAATGATGCAGCACGACATGTGTAGGTGTGTTTGATATCAGTCACACAGATTTGCCTGAGAGTATGCGACCGAGCCGCATGGAACCTCAGCTGTGGTGTGTGATTATTGTTATGACAGCTGAACTGCAGAGGAATTACGGTTCACTTGTTCATTTTTCAGAGCGCACGAAACTTCAACAGAAAACAAACTTAGGGCGAGTGTTTGGTATAAAGCTTCCCTGGAATCCATCAAGGTCAAACAAGCTCATTTTGCTCTATTTTAATTTGAAAAGATCAATGGGCTTCAAAAATATATTATTTAAGAAATTACTCTCACAGTTTTATTGCCATTTTCTGTCATTCCCTCCCATTTCACTTAATTCCATCATATACATATAAGTGACTGAAAAAATGTGGGAATGTCTGATTTCTTGGCACCTTGGGCAGGGAGGCTCTGGAGCCAGAGCTCTGGGTAGTCATAGTCAGCACGGTGGTGATTCCCAGACCAACACGGGCAGGCGCTGCATCCATGTTGATCCAAAAGGAAACCCAGGACAGGATAACGATGAGCAGGGATGGGATGTACATCTGGATCAGGTAGTAGCCCATCTGACGCTCCAAGTGGAAACGAGCCTCGATGCAGGTGAATTTACCTAAAACAGCAGAACATGGTCATTCAGCTTTAGTTTGACACGTTAGACATCCTAGTCAAGTATGGTACAGGGACCATTTGGGTCCCTCAGAGAAACTGCACGGGGCACAAAAACACAATCCATGAATGGTATGAATTATTTTGCAGAAAATATACGTGGATGGATATGTTAAATTGTTTTAGGCTAAGATTTTCTCTAATATATAAATATTTGCTTAAATAGGAAAATATAAGATACCCCACCAAATAATGACACATTTTTACATATTTAATTTTAAATTAAAACAAAAGCATATAGTAAAATCAGACTTTACACTATGGATGAAACTTGGACTCATTCAGTGTTCATCAAATTCTTGCTAGGTTACAGGGGAGCATTGTAGGGTTTCCTTTTAATAGGGTCTTGCAACTATTATGCTAGATTAAGGCTAAACAATTTTGCCAAATTTCTAATTCGTGATAATTTCCAACCAATATTGTGATTGCGATTTTATTGCGACAATCCTTTTTCACTAAGCACAAGCATGTCGGTGTTTTACTTCAGGGTTTCAGTTTTTTTTATGACCTTGAAAGCCAGCTTGTCCAGAGTCCAGTGTTGCAGGATTTTAGTTTTAAACTTGCACAAACTAATTCTTACTTCTACTATAATGGATTAATCTATGTGCTAGCTGCAACTTTGTAATCGTATTGCTGCCACCTAAAGGCTGGAGGGGAAAATTTAGTGTCTTACTCTTGTTAAATGTTTTGTGATAAAAAATTGAGTGCCTATGCAATTGGAAAATTGCATTTTTCTAAATTGTGATTCTATTGCAAATGCCATTAATTGCCCAGCCCTATGCTAAATGCTTATTATGTTTCAGATCTAAAATGATTTACAAATTATCTTTTACAAATATGACTTTTAGTTTCTGCCCATGAGACAAAATCTTTGACAAAAATGTGAAGAGACTAACCCTGTGTGAGACACTAAAGTAAGTTGCTTCCTTTTAGTTAATTGTCTTAGACTATACAATTAAAGCAATCGTTTGAGGTCTTAAAGCTATATCATACAGTACAGAAGCAGTTGGTAGTAATCAGGACAGAACAGTGGCATATAAAGCTGTGGTTTTCCACCTGTAAGCAATTTAATCCACTGGGATATTTCAACATGCACCTGGTGTATCTATGCAGAAATCCTCTCTAACTTTAACCTCAGGTTCATAATAAGACTTAAAAAATCTATAACATTTTTGTTTCGGTGTTGCATTTATCTAATCCTGAATATGCTATTGGTAACAGTAGTTTTGTCCTGTTATGTATCCTTCAGTTTCAATGTTTAAAATTTAGTTTTGTTATTACATTTTATCTTTGCATGCTTCCATGTTACCTTTCACCTTTCTGCTGATGTTTCTATTTCCAACTTTGTGTTGCTGTAAACCCTTATTACCCCCAACATTTACAGAGTGCATCCCCTATCACTACCATTCACATCTGCTGAACATAACCAAATGCTGGGAGAAGGTCAACTATCATATATTTTAGCCAGTAGACACAACACATTTTTACTAAAACAAAGGTTTTTTGAGCCGCCCCCTAAAAATTCAAAGGCACTACCATTATGATTATGTAATGTCTGTAACAACTACCCCTCCACAGCAAATTTGAAAGGGTTAATTTAACTTCATTGCAAACCTAGATTTAAGGGGAAAAGCAGCCCCAAAGTAAGGATATTAAACACAACACAATTTTACCACAGCTATAATGGGTATCATCAACAGTCAGGCCTCAGAGGTGACAACGGCTCTTTTTGACAGGATAAAGTAAAACAGGTACGATATGGCTTTCTTTACCAATAATGAGCTATAGTAGCATCGTTTTCCCCTCCACATCTAAAGAAAATGAGCGAATGGAGGAGAGAACTCTTAACGCCTAAAAGTGGTCTTACCTCGAAGTGACTTTTTTAAGGTCAGACAACATATTGTTGTTGGCCTTAGAAAATTAGTTATATTAACATTACATTTAGTGCAGCTAAACTGTGTGTCAAATAGAGATTTTATGGCTCGAAGTGATGCTTGTACAACATATTTATGGTTCACTAAATGAAACAATTTTTTGGAGAAATGGGAGCACTGACAACGCTTTTTATAACCATAGCATACATTTCAACACCTATACTTTATGCTGCAGGTAGGGTTGCCACCTTTCAGAAATGGAAATAAGGGACGCGGGGGACCTAGAGATACTTTATTTTCACAGGGGAGTCTGGGGGATCCCCCCTAGAAAATTGTGTATTTCTTAGATGCAATTTCCTGTAATTTCCTGCATTTTAACCAAATTGTGTCCCATTTCAGCTCAACACAGAACCATACTTTGATTTTGTTCCTTGAGCGTGGCTTGTATTTCTTGCAATAAGGTACAGCCAATTAAAATAATTAATAAATGGAAATTTTAGGTTTGCACAGTATAATTGCGCACAGGAATCCCAATATAAAACCACTGCTGTGCTTCGCCTGGTAGAATCTTTTTAGGCTATTTTTGGTGCTTATTTTTGGTTTATTTTGGTTGTTAGTTACCCAGTGTATTAAATAACTCACTTTGTTGTGCTATACTATTCCTGCCAACCTGCTGTGGCCCCCCACGGTCTCCGGCCCCCACTTTGACAACTACTGTCCAAGATCATGATGGATGTATATCCTTACAGACGAGCACAGCAGCAGTCATACAATGAAAATAACACGCTATGCACGCTTAAATATTCAGACACCCATTGCAATGCATACAGTATAGTTCAAAGAAATATGAAACTGCAAATTCAATGGGCTCATTTGACAGCATTATGTTAAGTAATTTTAAGAATTAAAAATTCTGATTTAGTATGTTGGGGGATATCAGAAATGAAAGAGTAAAAATAGCCAGAAAATGTACAACAGTTCTGTAGCTTACACATTAGTGTACAGTATATATGTTGGGATTTACTCTTGATTGCACATATTTAGTAGCAAAATAAACATTGCCATTCATAGCTAAAAAAATACTTAAAGTTTGCAAAGTTATACTGCCAATAATGAATAACATGAGACATAACATAACATGACATCAAAGAACATGAGATACGCCTACATAGACTACCTCTTTACAACTTGAAATGGCAACAGTTACCTTTGGTTAACTCAAATATAAACTTGAATGGGAACTAGCTAGGCCTAAACTGGCAATGGCATGGAACTTGGATGTATCACTTATTTTTCCATGAGTACTTTCTGTTACTCCTTGCAGCACTGAGTAACTCCCTGTCTGCCAGAGTGCTGGTATAAAACTCTTAGAAGGACTGCTCAAAGTTGAGTGGGATGAGGAGTTTACTCTTCCTAAGCTCTACAGAGCAACCTGTTCCTGCTGTTTGTCCACTTGTTTATCATCTGTGAGAACACCATTTCCACATATCCGGTGGATGCTGGAATGCTGAGGATGTGACTCATGGTCGCCAGCAGGTGGGGCAGGTTGCCTAATTCAAAAAAAGCCATCCATCCAAGCAATAGATGCTTCGAGATGGCGTGCGCAGGTGCACAGTTTGTAGAACTACAACTAAACATGAGGACAGTGACCAGGAAACCGTGACAACGCCTCAAGAACAGAGATTACCGCGTGGAGAATGCTTTAGGCAGACAAAGTCATAAGGGGAAGGTAAATCAAGAACAGTAGTACTCTAAGCTCTAGCTACGACAGGGAGGAGAGAATCAGGACGCGCAGACATGGGTCACACTCTCAACAGTAGAGTTGTTCTGTGTGCAAGTGCCACCGAAATTACAGTTTGTTTAGTTATTCATGAAAATACAGAACAAAAAGCGTCCCTTATCAGTTCAAAACGGGACACGTAATTTAACTTCTAAATACTGGACGATTCCGTATTGCAAGGGACCCGAGCTGCAGGGTATCAGTTTTTTAAATCAAAAGCAGCCATTTTACATAGCAGCTAATACACAAGCACACTTTTAAATCCCTTCGTTTTGGAGGGCTTTAAGGTCCTGCTCTCAGCAGCAGTTCTTGTGTCTTTTTTGCTTTTTCCAAAAGAAATCACATTACATACCATTGCTAATTTCAAATAGGAGCTACAGACTCTACTGTTTCATAGGTAACATTATCACTGAACAGCAATGTACAAACTCATGTGGAAAAGACTCACAATGTTCGGTTTCTAAAACAGCAACTAACTTTTGAGAAAAAAAAACATATTTTTAGGCTTTGCTAACGACAATCACACCTAGCTATTTGGTGCTTTTCCAAATCAATTTAATTGCAACATTTAATTTACCATAAACAAAAACCCCTTATCTTAAAGGGTTCAATCCACTGTCCAATTGTTAGTTTATTTGTCAGTCAGCCAGAGGACAATATTTTTGTTTAGGTACAGCCTATCCAAGAAAACACATAAACAAAGATATTTTATATTGGGGGATACGGCATCTGAAGCCTCGCTGCCCTTATAGTTAAACAAAAACGGAGAAAAAGATTACAGTGGATACGAGGAAGGAAATAAATAAATACACACTTTATCGTTAACAGGATAGAGTCTGAGATTGCAAAAAATCTGAACACAATTAGTACATTTAACCCAAAGGTTTTTAATCATTAACTAAAATGAATCGGAAACCTAAAAGGTAACAATGTCTAACCACACTTCTTCTGTTTTACACAATATTCAGCTTTGATTGTTTTTATTTTTTAAGTGACAATTCACAATGCCTACATGATTAGCTTTCTTCTAACAAAGCCAATAATTTTGTCTCATTAAGTTTGATGTTTTAGAGAACAGACATATAATTTAAAAAATGGGTAGTTGGAAGAAAATAACACAGCAAAGCTAATATGAAGAAAAGGAAATGAATGAGCTGCCACTCCTCGACTTTGATGAATAGTTCAGACAGACTGAATACATGTTACTGCAGACCACAGGATTAAAAGATGTTTCTGTTTAAGGAGATATGGTGTCTTTAAGAATTTAGTTATTAATGTTCTAATTCCCAT